GGATGGGAATTCCTAATTCTTCTATAGGGAACCAAATCAAAAGAGAAAGACTGAAGTGAATGTAAATATGACCTCCTATGTCCTCTAACTCTCTATGAAGATCCCCGTGCATTCTGAGATTAATTTAATTGCCCACAGTCCTCTGGCTGGTAAATCAGCAGGCTAGGACGCACACTCTAACATCTGACTCCCCAAGACAATATTACAGTTGTGCTCTGTGCCTCTGTCCTAGTGTGATTAGATGATTTGTAATTCTCTTGGAACCGAGCATAACAAAACGGATTTCCTGACATTGGTTTTAGAGGAATTGTGTTATATTACAACTGCCTTCCATTAATATTGAAATTCAAAAGGCCCCATTTTTTTCTTTGTTTCCCTTCCATTGACCATAACACAGTCTTAACTTTCATCTTTACACTCAGTTTTTATTGGCTACTTCATGCATAACAAATTCCGCAGAGTTATTTGAAGGTACAGGTGGTACGGATAACACTGCTAATGTTTAGTGACACATAAATACACCGTGGAGTCATGGGAAAAGTCCATACAAAGCTTTCAAACTTTTAAAGTAGACCAGAGTTTGTTTCTGAGCATTGTGGTTTTAGTTACCAACATTGTTTGGCATTTCTATGCTTTGTAGTAAAAATTGAAACTGGATTCTGATATTAATAATTTCTCTTTAATTACTATGGACTCTCACAAAGCCGTTTAACAATGTTTTCTTATACAATGAATGTCCAGAGACAGATATTTTATGGATATTTAACACATTTGTAACATTCAGATGGTGCTCTAAAAGAATCCATAGTATGCAGTTATAAGAGAGACTGGTCACTTTTATAGAGTGATTTGTTCTTTCCTCTCTTTAGTTTTGTAGCTATGTTTGAACTAATTTAAATTTTTATTTAAAAATGTCTTCAGTGGTTTATTTACCTAATGTATTTTAAGAATGTGGGAAAGTAATAATCTCACATTTTCTTGGTTTTACTTGTTATATTCTTTCCTGTATAATTATATAAAATAGAATCCTGTTAATGCCTATGGATTAACTGCTTAAAATTTTATCCTTGAGCTTTTTGTTAGCTGCGTATGATAGTAAGGTGGGTGGAATGCGAGCCTAAAGAAAAAGATTTTGAAGATTCTGAACAGAAACAAATGACTTATGAAGAACACTGTTCTACAGATATTAAAATTTTAAAATTCTGTAAATACAGCAGTTTATATTATTCAAACTCAAAATACCATTATAAAGTTAGGGTTTCTTGTACATATTCTTCTGCTTGAACATAAACATTCCTTAACAAAAAATTTCCTACAACTACTTAGCAAAATGCTTTGCACTGAGATTATACCTTACATATTGAGTAACGAAAACAAATACCACAGGGGAAAAATAAAAATGCTTACTAGTAACTTTATGAATAGAAATTAGATTTAAATTATTATGGATTTATTTGTAATTAACTGTAAATGTACTGTATATTTAAAGTAAAAATGATATGCCAATTTTACATAAAAATCACACTGGTAAAATAATTAGTTTTGAAATTTATTTTGGTTGGATAGTTAAGGAAAGTGAAAGTTATGCTGAATCACATTTTTATCTTGTCTTTCCTGGTAATATAGTTGCAAATTTTATAGCTTACAGTTGCCTGGAAAATGCCTATTACTGATTTCAGATTAACAGCATTGTAAGACTTAATCAAAGTCTCCAATACTGAGTTCAGATTTCTAAAGTCACAAATATTATAAAAGTCAGAGCAGAAATCAGTGCAATAGAGATTAAGAAAACAATCTTAAGAATCAATGAATCAAAGAGTTGGTTCTTTGAAAGAATAAATAAAATCGATAGTCTCCTAGCCAACCTTATTTGAAAAAGGAAAGAAAAAGCTCAAATTCATGTAATAAGGAAAAATCACTACAGACTCTATAGAAATACAGAAGATCTCAACACCTATTTTGAAAACCTCTACTCTCAAAGGTTTGATAACAAGAAATAGACAGACTCCTAGAAGGAAATGAAGTACCAAAGCTAGGCCAAGAAGATGTAAAACTGCTGAATAACCCAATTTCTATTAATAAAATTCAAAATGTAATTAAGTCCTCACCTACAAAGAAGAGTCCAGGCGCAGACAGATTCACTGCAGAATTCTACAGGACATGCAAAGAAGACCTAATGCCGACACTCCTCAAACTCTTCAATGAAACTGAAAGGGAAGCAATCCTTCTTAAGTCATTCCTGGAAGCAAATATTGCTCTAGTACCAAAACCTGAGAAAGACCCAACTAAAAAAGAGAACTACAAACCAATCTCCCTAATGAACACAGATGCAAAAATCCTCAATAAAATATTGCAAATAGGATGCAGCAAATCATCAAGAAGATTATACAGCATGACCAAGTGGGATTCATCCTAGGCATGCAGGGATGGTTCAGCATATGTAAATCAATAAATGTACTCTACCACACAATAAAGCCAAAACTAATAATCACATGATCATTTCTATAGATGCAGAAAAAGCTTTTGTTAAGGTCCAACATTCATTTATGATAAGAACCTTACAGAAAATTGGAATAAATGGCCTTTATTTCAGTATAATAAAGGCCACCTATGACAAACCAACAGCCTTTGTCATACTAAGTGGCCAAAAACTGAAGGACTTTACTTTAAAATCAGGTACAAGATAAGGATGTCCTTTATCACTGCTTCTATGTAATATAGTACTAGAAATACTAGCCAGAGCAATTAGACAAGAGAGAGAAATAAAAGGTTTGAAGATAAGAAAAGAAGTTAAATTATCATTATTTGCAGATGACATGATACTCTACATAGAACACCCCCAAAACTCCATTGAAAGACTCTTAGACATAATATATAAATTCAGTGATGTAGCTGGGTACAAAGTCAATACTCAAAATTCAATAGCATTCCTATACACTAACAACAAAATCACTGACAGAGAAATAAGTTAAACCATACCCTTCACACTAGCAACCAAAAAAATGAAATATTTGGGAATTACTCTCACGAAAGAAGTGAAAGACCTATACAGGGAAAACTATAATACACTGAAAAAAGAAATTGAAGATGATCTCAGAAAATGGAAAGACATCCCTTGCTCATGGATAGGAAGAATAAATATCGTGACAATGGCCATTATCCCAAAACTGCTATACAGATTCAATGCAATCCCAATAAAAATACCATCAACATACCTCATAGATCTCAAGAAAGCACTCCTAAAATTCATTTCGAGTGAGAAGAAACCCAGAATAGCAAAGACAGTTCTAAGCAGCAAAGGCAAGGCAGGAGGCATCACATTCCCTGACTTGAAGTTATGCTACAAAGCAACTGTAGTAAAATCAACATGGTACTGGAACCAAAACAGAACCAAAGATCAATGGAATAGATTAGAAGATACAACCACAACTACAAACACATCCAACCACCTTATCTTTGATAAAGGAGCCAAACACGTTCACTGGAAAAGTGATAGTCTCTTTAGTAAATGGTGCTCTCCATACGCCAAAAACTAGAACTAGACCCATGGCTATCATCATATACTAAATTAAAATCTAAACGTATCAAAGATCTGAATATTAAAACAGAAACACTAAATCTATTGGAAGACAAATTGGGTAAAAACCTTGAAGACATACGGGTAGGTAGAGAATTTATGAACCGGAATCAAACCACATGGGAAATACTTCCCAGAATCAATAACTGGGTTCACCTCTTATTAAAATGTTTCTGCATGTCAAAAGAAATCTCCAGCATAGTGAAAAGAAAACCCACAAACTGGAAAAAATATCTTAGTGAACTGTCCCTCACACAAAGGACTTCTATCTAAAACATATAAAGAATTTAAAAAAAACAGACCCCCAAAATTCAAAGATCCAATCCAAAAATGGGCATCTGAGATGAATACACACTTCTCAGATGAAGAAATACAAATGACAAATAAATACATGAAAAAATGTTCATCATCATTAGTCATTAGAGAAATGCAAATTAATACCACAGTGAGATTTCATCTCACTTCTGAAAGAATGGCCAGGATCAAGAAAACCACCAACAGGGGCTGGGGGTTTAGCTCAGCGGCATAAGCGCCTGCCTTGCAAGCAGGCACTCGTGAGTTTGATCCCTGGTACCGATAAAAAAATGAAAAAGACAAAAAAAAAAAAAAAAAGAAAGAAAGAAAGAAAGAAAACCACCACCAACAAATGCTGGAGAGGCTGTGGGGAAATAGGAACTCTCCTACGTTGCTGGTGGGAGTGTAGACTGGTGCAACCATTGTGGAGGTCAGTTTGGAGATTTTCTCAAAAAGCTGGGATTGGAAGTCCCATTTGTTCCAGGTATTCCACTTCTAGGCATATTCCCAGAAGAACTGAAAGCATCATACCACAGTGATATATGTCCACCTATGTTTATAGCAGCATGATTTGTAATAGCCAGATCTTGGAAACAACTTAGTGTCTTTCAACTGAGGATTGGATAAAAAAGTTGTGGTATTTTTATACAATGGAGTACTACTAAGCTATAAAAAGGATCACATTGAGATATTTATAAATAAATGGATGCAGCTTGAGACCATACTCATAAGTGAAATAAATCAAACTCACATGTATAAATACCGAATAGTTTCCCTATTGTAAGAAATGATAAGAATACATAAAATTATGTGGTAATCATGATTCCCCATTATATTGCTTTGAAACCTTATAATGTTTTCACTCATTAATTGGAATGGTTTTATTCTGAATTGTTTGATTTTATTGTCTGTGATAGTATGAACAGCTATTTTGAAGAAAACAAGACATCATAATAGCTAGTGCTGATTCAATATAATCTTGTTTTGAAGTCCCAGGAAGCTTTGTTCTTCTGTCTCTATTGGTTTTTATCAGGCTGTATCTTATTGGATTTTATTATATGTGATAGTACAAACCAAATTTTTTATAGGCAAAGAAATAATACAGAAACAATTGTTTGTTTTCTTTTAGCTGGTTCTAAATATCCTGTAATACTTGAATGGTTTCACACTGTCTTGATATGTTTGATGCTATAGTATACGAAGTTATACTCAAATATTTATTTCAAGAAAAGTGATACTATGGTAAGTACTATTATGTGAAGTTATCTGGTGGTGAAGCACTCTGTGCTTAAATTGTTCTGTTCTGACCTGTGTTGTTATTTTGTTATGTTCCCTTTTATCTCAATCTCCTTTTTTTTTTCAAATTATTTTTTATTATTTTTTTAGTTAAGTGAGAAAATAAATTAAAAATAGCATGATATAGTAACATTTTTGTTTTCCTATTAACCTTATTTGAACCCCTGTATTGCTCTCACCATCTTGTATTGACTGTATTGTTTGACTGTTTGATAGTATCAAGTTTGAGGGTATAGGCAACTACTTTGAAGGCAATAAGATATTCATTATAATGCCCATTCAGGTTTGACTATTACCTTCTTTTGAAGGTCTGTAAGATCTCCAATGTTTAGTTTTTATTGGTTTTGTTCTGAACTGTTTTGTTCAATTTTATTATACCTGATGATACAGGCAACACTTTTTAAGGTAGCAAGAGGCATTATGGCATCCATTGTTGATCACCTGGTATTCTGTTTTCACATCATGTACTATGTCCATCCTTTTGTTTTGACTGACTCCGTTTTGTTTTGTCACACTTGGTTTATTCTCTTCAAAAAAAGTAATAAGAACTGTGGGAGTAATAAAACCCAAAATGTGTAACTGTCATTGTAAAAAGGAGAGGAAAAGAAAGTGCTCTAAAGTATATAACTGCATATGTATTTAAGTGTGTAAGATAAAAAACCATATTACTAAGTTTTTGTTATACCATCGAACACAACTGTTTGCAGTCTCACTGTTTGAATGTCCACTTTGAATGGTTTAATTTTGTAACTTGAACAACTATTTCTAAGATGATGATATGTAATCTGTTAACTGATTCTTACTGTTTATTCTTTTGAAATTCTGCATTACTTGTATCCTTTTACTGTTTTGTTTTTTAATCTTTAAGAAAAAAATTTTAAAAAAGAAAAAAAAAGCGTTTAGCTGGAGATATTTATCATTCTTCAATATTTTCTTTTAAATGTAACATAATCTCACTGTGAGGTCAAACCTTGTTAATATCCTTTCCTTGAAGTTGAAGTTATCCAAGAACATTGAAGTGCATTCCAAGTTACTTTCTGATGTATTTATCAGATTACTTCAAAGTATTTAGCTTATTTTGCTGCAAACATGAAATTTTATAATGAAAATTCAATGTAGGATGTTAAATGTTATGTTTAGTTATTGTTCAATCTTAAAACTTCATAATAGCTGAAAATACCGGCATAAGGTTTCCTGAAATTTGTTTCCATGCATATTAATATAGAGTTGGATTTATTAATTTTATATTTTTATATAATGATATGCATTTAAGCAAGAAACAATCCTTGCGCTACACTTTACAATCTGGACTCTCAAAAGGTTTTTGTGGTTAGAAACAGTATTACAAAAAGTTTTATGTTGAGTTGTTAGTTCATAACATTTCATATTTTGTTCTCATGTGATGTTCTCAAACCCATGAGATGGAGCTTCCGGAAGAACATGGCGGATAGACAGCAGCAAGCTATGGAGGCTCTCTGAGATACCCTGCTTAGAATACAGGAATGCTGCGGTATGAGGAGTCCTAAGCAAGGGGAGATATAACCTGTTGACACACGAATGAACTAAGCTAAGAGAAACCAACTGGAAATGCAATCCTGGTGCTATAACAGGAACAGATAAAATCTCAGCGTGGAAACTAGAACCCGCGCCACTGGCAGCCGCGATCTGAATTTCCTGCTGATGCTGCGTCCAAATCTGCAGGGCAGGTAGAGAGACACGCGAAAGCTCTGAGAGCGGGAATCTGTGAATGGAGTTGCCCTACATCAACTTGTGATTTGTGGTGAGTGAGCGGAACAGGGACCGTTTCATAGAGTAGGAGGCTCCAGCAAAGGACATACTGGGACCAGGCAGACTTGCCAGAATGGGGTGCTGCAGTGACTTCAGTCACATATTCCCCTCTCAAGCAGGATTGGTGCGGAGCGCCTGGCCTGCGTGACACCGCTAAGACCCAGTAGGCTAGCCCAAACCAGGTCCCAGCGCCTGGAGGTGCACCCTAGCGGTGAAGCCTTCGCGATTTCCTATTAAATTGATTTGAAACCTCTATAGCCCTCACCATCTTGCTTTGACTGATTTTCCTCTATTCTCCTTTGCTTGATAGTACCAAGTTCAAAAGTATAGGCGACTGTAAAGACAATAAGATTCATTATGACGCCCATTCCGGTTGACTATTATTTTCTTTTAAAGCCCTGTAATGTCTCCAATGTTTTGGTTTTATTCTTTACTGTTTTGTTCAATTTTATTATAACTGATTATATAGGCAATTCTTTTTAAGATAGCAAGAGACAGTATGGTAACCATTGTTGATCACCTAGTATTTTGTTTTTACATTATCTATTATGTTCATCCTTTTAATTTGACTGACTCTGTTCTGTTATGTCACATTTGGTTTTACTCTCTTCAAAAAAAAGTAATAAGATGTGTGGGAGTAATAAAACCCAAAATGTGTAATTGTCATTGTACAAAAGAAAGGAAAAGAAAGTGCTCTAAAGAACATAACCACATATATATTTAAGTGTGTAAGATAGATAACCATATTACTGAGTTTTGTTGGATTATTGAACAAAACTGTTTCCAGTCTCACTGTTTGAAAGTCCACTTTATATGCTTTAATTTTGTAACTTGAACAACTATTTCTAAGATAACATGTAATCTATTAACTAGTGATTTCCTATTGTTTATTTTTTCTGACATTCTGTATAACTTGTACCCTATTTCTGTTTTTTTTCTTTTTTTCCTTAATAAAAAAAATCTAAAAAAAAAAACCCATGAGATCACATGAGAAGAAAATGCAAAATGTTATAAATATGTTTCAAACAGGCCATTTATTATTCAAGTACTGAGTTAATACGATTAATCATATTAAAGTTTATAAAAGATAGTCAACATATAAATAAGGCTTCCAATTTCAATTATTTTTTGAGCAATGCATCTTTTTGTTTGCTAAAAGTATTTTATTCATACATTCATAGTAGTTATATATCATTCTTTGTTTTGCCTTCCTAAGTAAAGTTTTACTAACTTGTACAATTTTTTAAAAATAAAATAATGTATTTATTAATTTAAAATAAAATTTGAAATCGATAGCCAGTCTGTATTTTTGATGCTGTGACCTACAGATCACCTATGATGGGGTCAAAACTTTAGCTGTTGACAACACATTTTCTTGTCTTCACCTACTGAAAGGTGTGAAGGACCTGTACTACCTGCATGACACATAACATACATAATAGCAGGAACAACTTCTCAAGTAAAAGATGATACAACTGTTTGTAAATAAATCATGATTAATCAGTAGTTGACTTCTAATGTTAAATTTTTTTCATTCCTCCATGATAATGGATTATTATACATGTCTGACAAAGAGATTGTGAAATAAAAATTTACATTTTGGAATAAGGCTAATAAGGTTTAAAAAATAACCAAATTTAGAAAGATTGAAAAAAAGTAAGATTTCAAAGATCATTTCACAAATTCAATCATAAACTGGTGAAAGTGTATAACAGAATAAGATTGATGAAAATAGATATTTTCTTCAGTTCTCCAACAGAAATTTGTGCTATTTTTCTCCAGGGAGTTTTTAGGCCTTTGCAACCCCCTTTTCTGTGGCTTCTGTCATCTTGAGCTGAGCACCCATGGGCCTTCCAGCTCTCCTACTGACCATGTAAGTTATGAATAAATCCTCTAATGTAACTATATATATATATATATATATATATATATATATATTTTTTTTTTTTTTTCTCCACTGATTCTGTTCCTTTGGAGTATGCTAACCAATTCAACAGTAAACACAGTGATAGTTTCTTAGTGCTTCTTTTGTATGAGGTCATCTAAATGGCACAAAATCCCAAAGAAGACAGGACTATAATGACTGAATTATTGATAGAACAAAACCGAAGTCTTAAGAAATCTAGGGATTACCTATAATCCCAGAAATTGAAATTGGCAGAAACGTAATTTTAACTGAGGATTTTTGGCTACAGATACAATGTTCTTGCTATTTTATTTGACTCACATCTCAGTTTTGAAAGTTCATGATAAAAAAGAACCAAGGAAGAATATTATAAAACTTCTGAATACCTAAACAAAGAATGAGAAAAACTGGTGAACATGGTGGTATATGCCTGTAATCCCAGCACCCAGGAAGAGGGGTAGGAGGGTCGCCTCAAGTTCAAAACTTGCATGAGTTACAAAGTGAGACCCTATCTAAAGAAAAAGAAAGAAATAATTTCTGTGGAATTCTAGAGTAATAAGATCCAAAATGTATAATAGATATTGTAAAAATTAAAGGGAGGGAAAGTACTCTAAAGGCTATAACTGTATGTATGTTTAAGTGGGTAAGGTAGATCACCATACTACTAAGTTTTTGCTGAATCATTGAACAGAATGGTTTGCACTGTCATTGTTTGATTGTCCACTTTTTATTGTTTTATTTTGTAACTTGAAAAACTATTTTTAAGATGACAATATGCAACTTATTAACTAGCGATTTCTTAGTGTTAATATATTTTTAGAATACTGTATTATTTCAACCTTTTTTCTGTTTTCTTTCTTTCTTTGTTTAAATAAATAAATGAATAAATAAAGAACATGGACTCTATATTTTGCTTATGAATCCCTGTCCATTAATATAAAATGAACAACAAAGGCAGAAATATTTGTATTAATAGAAAAAATGTTAACATCGAAGGCAATGATAGTATTTCTCTACATTTAATTTTAGATAAAAAAATAAATACTAAAGGTATGGAAAAATATAGATCCAAACCATCATGTTACCAATTGGAAACGTAATTTATTAAAAAATGACAAATAAAACATTTCAGCCTTAGGGACAAAGTGATTTTTCAGTTCATTAATAATGAAGTGATATGTAATTTCAGTCAATTAATTCAATTAATTTTGAATGTTGCAAATGTTGCTATATGAATGCAACTAATTTCAATAAATAGACGTGATAAAATTGTGAATAGGCAAAAGAAAGTGTTTTTGTAAAGTTGCATCTAATCCCTTAAAGAGAGTAGTGTATATGAAGTTAGAAAATGCCAAGACAATGTGTAGCAACTGTGTGTCTTTTATATGTCTGCATCACAAACCTCAAAGGATCAAAAGAAGCAAAAAGATCAGTCAAATTTGTGGCTACTCAGATATGTTATAGACTTTATGCACCGGTCAGATTTAGGGTTAGGGTTTGTGCTTCACTGGTTTATGAACCGTTTCCTGGTTTTTTTTTTTTTTTTTTTTTTTTTCAAGTCTAGCGCTCTAGTTTGTGTCTGGATTTTCCCGCAAAGCCTCATGGACTCATAAGGGTCCAAGGCTTTTCAGAGGGGGCTGCATCTAGAGTTTGGGAGTGAGTCATGGTCCAAAGCTAGGATTGAAGGTTTGAGTCTTACATTCACCCTAAAGCGTGTAGCCTACATACACTATGAGGAAAGGGACTTATCCATTTCTCTCTCTCTTGTTGCTTTGCTATCTTCTAGTCACCATGAAAAGCCTTCTGCATTGTTGCTTTGATCTTTTCTGTTGCCATGAACTGTTTCTCTTCTGTAGTGTCAACCTGCCTTGAAACAGGCCAATTATGCACTGAAACTTCTAAAAACTGGGAGCTAAATAAACCTTTCCTCCTTTAACTTTAGGCATTCGTTATTTTGTCTCAGCAACAAGAAAAGTAACTAGGACATCTTTCTTTCCCTTTCTTCTCTCTCTCTGTCTTTATCTCTCTGTATCTCTGTCTCTGTCTCTGTCTCTTTCTCTTTGTCTTAGTTCAGGCTGTACCTTTGTCCATTTCGACTATGATAGCAGAATACTTCCAACATAGCGACTTATAACCTGTCTAATTTATAATTTAATCCTTCTGCTTGGAGGCTGGTAAGATGCCTCCAAGATGGAGGCGGCAGCAGGTTTGGGATTTGATGACTGCTTACTGCGATCTTTTCAGTGGGGAAATGAGGGATGCTCGATTCTCTTTCACCTGCCAAGTCACCCCAGTCATGAGGCTGGAGGACTATGACTTAGTCACTTCCTCAAAGGCTCTGTTTTTTAATAATATCACACTGAGTACAAGATATTATGAATTTTGGGGAGCACCAACATAATTCAAGCCATAGGAATCTGTGTTAGCAAGATACCATCACCAGAGTAGTTTACAAAGAAGGCACTTGTTTCTCAGGGAGGATAAGAAACCCAAGATTAGGGCACCATGTTGGCAGGTTTCTGGTGAGGCTTTGTTGGCTTTCATGTAACCATTTCTTGCTGAGTCCTCACATGGTAAGAAGTCCTGGCCTCTCTCCCTCTTACACAGAAACTAATCCTATCACCAATATTGTGTTTAATTTATGTCATCTACAAGTAACTTCACCCAAACCCGTTTTTAAATATTTTCCTCTTGGGGTTAGGGCTTTAACATATGACTTTGGAAGGCACATATGGAGTTTATGCCAACATTGGTGGAAATCGACTCGAGCTGATCATTGAAAAAGTTTAGTCCCTCCTGTTAGGAGCTTATGCAGGAAAGAACCCAACCTGGATGTCACTTACTTCTCTATGCTACATTTTGTGAAGTTCTGCAAACTAATTTTTTTGTTGAAATGTGGCTCATTGACTCACTTGTTATTCAACAAAAATGTATGGAATTTCTGCTATATGTAAACAATGTTAAATGTTATTCTAGTTATCTTGCATTTAAAATTTTCAGACTCATTATTCAGTGATGTTCCGCTTATTGTTACATAAAGATACCAATAAAATGACTATATTAGTTCCAAAATAAATTCTAACTATTCAACTCTAACGTCTAATCTAAGCTTTCTTTTTTCCCTCCTATTTTCTTCCTGTTATTCTAGTCAGACAAAATAAAGACTTTTCACACATGCATTTCTGATTATTTATCTTGGCTTGGTAATTACTGAGGGCCATTTTCTAACATTTTTTAACATAAATTGAATCATAAGGGTTTTTCTGGTTTTCCAAATTCTTCTTCTACCCATTTACCAAGTAGTCTTTATATACTATCAGTTCTAGTGAAACTTAACCTGTGCTCTTAAGATTTGTGGTCCTGAATAATAGGCATTAACTTCATGGTCGTCACTGTTCTGCTATTACAGACAGTGTACTTAGTAGAAATTAATAGAGAGGGACATGGCCTTCAGAGGAGTCAGCACAAATGAAAAATACATCAGGATTTTGGCTGGAGACATACCTGAACAAGGTCAGGCCTCAGGATGGAGACTCAAGGGCCAATTGAAGGCATAAATGATAACTTGAGATTCTCTTATCATTAGCACCATCTGGTCCTGTAAATCCAGACAGGCATCAGTCATGCAGGTAGATGCAGAACATCTGAGCCCATCCCTCCCCTAAAATGTCTTTGTTCTTTACATGTAGCCTTGTTACATGACTCATTTACTGGATCGATATTAACTAAGCAGCTATACTTGTAATCCTATATAGTTTGGTTGTAGTCTGATCTGCATTGTACCCACATCATGGTTTTGCTGTATAAATTATCCCTGCAAAAAAATCATAGTGGCAATCTATTTGGGATCCTGCCTGGAAACCCAGGAGCTGGTCTTCTTTCCTTTGTTTCCCATAAAACTCTCCTAATTTCCTCTTTTGGTTCATGACTTCATTCCTCTATGTTGTGAGGACTTGTAATTTTGCTATATCGTTGTAACCTGGAAATAGATCAAGGAAGAGAAAACACAATTTAGTCTGTGAATTTAAAGGCGTTGGATCTAATAGGCAGATAGATAAGTAAACATAAGACTAAACATGCTGTAGCAGAAAAGTATCATCTCAATGATGAGAAATGTGACATTGTTTTGAAAAACAACTGAAGACTGAAAAAAATAGCATAGAAGAGAGAGAAGTTGGAAGACAGGAATTGGGAAAACGGATTTAGAATCGCATTATTGATGAGTTGTGTGTGCTATGATCCAAAGTCTGAGATGTTTCCAAACTCTGCTCTACACATCACAAAATTTTCTCTTTATTACCTGGAGAAGAAGTTGTTCTTTCAAAGCAAACATTACCTCAAAGACAGAATCCTTGTAATTCTTTATTGAGACTTAACATTTTATTTCTATTTAATGTCCCAAACTTGCTTAAAGTTTATATACACATAACACATAAATACGTAAAATGATATAATTAAACAGAACAAGCATTAGATAAACACAAATGGTCATTTTCTAAGACTAAAGATTACAGAAATATACCCATTAAGAGGAGATGTTAAAAACAGGGTTTGGATTATACAGTTACTGCACTACACTAACTGGAAAGCCCCTCGCAGATGCAAATGTGATTGTCAGAACAGATTCAAATTCTCAACGATCAAATTATTTTAATTTTCTCCAAATTGCCATTTTATTGCATGCTAAATGAAGTTACTTCCTAACATTTTAAAAGTATCACATCCAGGAAAAACAAAATTAATGGTATTTTATGAAATTAATATAGCCATAATATCTTATTCATTGTAAAAATATTTAGCATAAGTCAAGGATTCAATCATATAATACTATTATTAAGATTACTCATGAGATCAAGCATGGCGAATTGCATAATCTGCCTAAAGTGCACACTGTAACTGTGTATGTGGAAATACAAAATATTAAGGACAACATGCTTCAAACCAGAAGCTGCAAATTAGGGGACAGT